TTGTTCAGCATTATCGAGTGCAAATAGATGGTGGGTTGTAGTGCGGATTGAGTGTGCTGTAACGCTGCGGTGAGAAAGAATCGGCTTCACTTCTCATTTTCCTGACTGTGGCCAGTTCAGAATCGGTCAACTCGAAGACAGTTGACAGGATGTAAATAAAGCCGCGACCGCATAAATGGCCCCTGCCTGATAGGCGATTGGTCGCGTATGAGGTAAACTTACTTGGCGTCGGGTCCAGAGTGATCAGCCATGCTCTGGCCCCGGGCGGAGGCTGTCCACTGCACTCCGGTCGGTTGAAGCCCGCGACTTGCCCCAAAGGGCGCGTTCGGACGTGCAATTTTTGCTAGTGGGGAGGTCTTTCGACTGTCCCTTTAATGACTACAAACGGTGCTTCCTTTAACCTCTCCCAACTTCTAATCTCCTTCCATCTCTCCTCTTCCTGCACCCCTTATTTCTCCTGCCGACTCAGAAATATCCGTCACAGTCAATTCTGCAAAATATCTATTATTCTGCGCGTTACTTGCACTACTCACAATTGAATAACAGTAGTCGAAATACATTCTTGTCAAGCGAAGGAGAAAAAGTAGTCAATAGGCTTCATTGGGACTCTTTTCACATTCACTACTTGCCCTTTTGCCAAAGTGCGCTTAAATCAAATTGAATGAGCCAATCTGCTAAAAGTATTCAATTTTGACTTAGAAACTGAGATCAGCCGTGATTTGGGGAGGGATCAACCAAAAAATTATTGCATCATCCACTTTTACGACGTTTTCTCGGAATATTAATCGAAAACTGCTTTCTCTTAACTTCATAGTAAGGGTGTCATATATTGCAAATGCTCTTCTGTATGTTCATTCCAATCAAATATCTTAACAGGCTGTCTTTTAGTTATATTTAACAAATCATGCTCTGTAGTAGAATATAGAATAAGTAAACTACTTTAAGATGATTCAAGGACAGAAAAGTGATTCAAAGATGCACACACCTCCACAAAGGCCTTCGTTTGCAAAAAAATGGATAATTTAAAAGATTTCTATATTAGATGGTGCAATAAATATGCATTTTAACATCATACTACTATGGACAAGTTGTGAGTAGTACTGATGGTGATATTAAAGTGTGGAAAGGAGAAAGATAATATGGCAGATCAAGGGGCAAGGTGGTTACGTTTTAAGGCAATCCAGAGTCGTTTTGATATTCTCGAGGTTGC